CATACACACACACTTCCGCATTTATAAGACTATAAGACTAGTAAGATAAACCACATATGTGTCTAACCTACAAATTGTTTTTCCGGGTCGGTCTGTGATGTGTATTTTTTTTTAATTAGGACAAGCCCGCCACAGCCTCCCAAAACCGCTGCAACTCCTGTAAGCCAGGATCTACAGTAGATACAACCATGAAAACACCGAATACTGAGCCAGGTATATGAATAATTGTCTTGGTTCCCTCAACGAAGTGAATCAGAAGATATTATAAGAAGAGAAGAAAAAAACGACAGTTTCCACTTCCCTGGGTGAATTACTGCAGGAGACAGAATGAATTAAGCCACAAAAAAGAGACTGTACAACTGGGTGAAGCCCAGTCGCCAAGCACCACGGAAATTTGACTAAAATCTAAGTGGGTCCTATGTGTGAGCTGTTATACTTGCTTCCAATAATAGGTATGGCAAAAGCGCCTAAACGCACGGAAATTTGTTCTAGATTCCGCAAGGTCCCTATAATAAGCTACACCTGACGAAACAATTAAATGTATTATTATTAAGTGTATGTGAACTTGTATGTTTGCAAACGCACCCACGACACAGGAGACAATCTTAATGTGAAACCGAGTTCGAAATTACTTTGTCATCCTTGATGTTGACTTAAATAAAATAATATTATGGTTAGCTTTATGCTTGACAATTTTATGTCACCGGCACAGCAATAGAGCTGTTTGCAGGGTCGGACTGGGGCCCTGGGGCCCTGGGGCCCTTAAAACGTTAACTGCCATGTAGGTCACCGGTGACCTACGTTAGCGGAGGATTAGCCTTCAACAGTTTTCTGTCGGTAGTCAAAGGCTTAAGCATGAAACGTTGGGAGCAGAGGTGAATTTAAACCTAGAGAGCGCCAGAGACAAGCACCTCATAGGCGTCCGTCATTTATTTTGTCGCCTCCGTCACTCTATGTGCAGTTGTGCACGCGCGTCTGCCGGCGCCCCTCTGTAACCTGGCGCCCGGCACTTATCTAGTTTACCTTAGAGATACGGCTCTGGTTAGAAATCTACGCAGGTTTAGGCCTACTGTATTATAATTATCCACTATATCGCTCGTCTAACGCTGTTGTTGTTCTAATGTAAGGCGAACGTGACACTTCATCTAGGCATTTTAGTCATCTAAGCTTATGAGATATTTTACGCAATTGCCAAATTCATTTTCAATAAAGTTTTGATTTATCTACTCAACGCCTTTAGCCAAACGCCACTTTAGCGCTTGTCTACAGAGAGAGTAGAAATCAAAATGTATGGGGATGACACTGACAAGTGTCAAAATTTACGTCAATTCCATATAATTTGGTTTTCTATTCTACATGTAGACGAGCGCTAAATGGCATTTGGCTAGCTTGTGTTTAGTCAATAGTTAATCTAGCTATTTTTCATACTAACTATTTTACTATTATTATTTAAATACTTCATTTTATATTAACAAAAGCATAAAAACAAGTTAAGTGTCTATTAAAAATGCATATAATTATAATTTTATTTGAAGGAATGCATTTTTAAGTTGTCCTAAATAAATTATACTACAGTCACTGTTTACATGTCAACATTAGCTCATGACGATACCAGCGTACGTGTGTCACTGGACAGTGAACGTCACTACCAACAGTTGACTGGACATCTACACTACACGAGTCACTGTTTACATGTCAACATTAGCTCATGACGATTTTAATGACATAATATACATTTAAAATTTAGGAAGACTTGTTATAAACCAATGTGTTAAACCTATTCAAATAATAATCTTTAAATTCTAAACAATCAGTACGTTTTATTTAAGACCCCACTATAATTAGAATTGGGTAGTTTCCAGGGTATCAAAATAAAAAATCTAATTAGTCCGTCACTTAGATAATGAAAAAATATTAGACACGTATTTTTTATTTTCTCGAATTAAGTTGCAATACTTAGATAAAATGGCGCTAAGTTTAGGAGTGGGAGGTCGTTACATCATAACGTGCTACAAAATGTGGCACGCTGTGACGTCACACGATATTTCAAATTAATATATCGTCGAAAGTATTTAATTTTGTGAGAAAAGAAAATATACGTGTCTAAAGATTTAAATTAATGTACCAGACGGACATTAAAATAAAATTTAGGAAACTTCTCTATTGTTTCGGAAATATAATATTAAAACGAAACTCGACAACACGCCTTGCAAAGAAAACAGAGGTCACATAGACAATGTAACATTAATTTTACAATAGTTTTATTATGAGTCTCATGTAATAGGGGGTGAATCTATTGAAAGACCGGAAAAAGTCCCTATAGTAATTGGATCGATCTTAAACCAATAGATTTGTCACCGTTTAAGATGTATTATATATAACCCTTTTTCTCGAACCTCTCCTAAATTCTAAGGAACCCCTAAGCTAAGATTTAGCGACATTATGGTTTTAATTAACCTTAAGTGACAACTGACACCCAGTAGTTCAGATTTTGGTTAAATTATAGATATTATAAAATGGTTGACTAACTTTTCTGTAACACTATTAAATTGTAAAAAATGTTATATTTTTCAAACATAATAATCACGCCTTTTATCCCCAAAGGTAGGCAGAGGTGTAATCACGGCACTTAATGTCACTGTACAATGTAACACCCACTTTTCAGTATTTATGTTCAGTCCCATGTAATAGAGGGTGAGCCTATTGCCATATATAGGGTACAAATCTATTTGAAATCAATATGTATTTTGCTTCTGATGTTTTGAATGCGGTAAACAATAAATTTTACTACTTTAAACAAAAATGTTTTATTAAAAAGATAAATTAGAAATAAATTTAATATTGACTGCCTCGTTGGCCGAGTGGTCGTAAGTGCGACTGCCGAGCAAGCCTTAAAAATTCTCAGTAATAGCACGGAGTCTGGAATTGTGCCCGGTATATGGCAATAGGCTCACCCCCTATTACATGGGACTCATAACATATATAGTGAAAAGTGGGTGTTACATTGTACAGTGGCATAATGTGCACCTCTGCTCCCCTTCGGGGATAAAAAAGGCGTGATGTTATGTTATGTTAAATTAAAAATCGATTTTAATTAGACTCCCTATTCGTTTAAAATTTATTCTAGCAAGTCTACTTATTTTTATTTTTGATATCAGCTTCAAAATTACCTATCGTAGTCCCCATCCAAGTTATCTAGTATGCAGGTAAGCAAATAGTTTTTTTATATATATTTGATAGGCCGACGTTTGACCACTATCTCGCCTGGTGGTAAGCGATGATGCGGTCTACGATGGAGCACGTCGTCCCATAAGCAACCTATCCACTCGGGCCTCGAAGACACCCACATTTGATTTAGCTATTGTTATACTATATTGTATGCTCTGTAACGAAGCCATATCTTTTGTAACCATCGGTCGCCTCTAGACAACTAATGGCTACTGTCTCTGTACTGAATCAATCTTTATTATCTTACCTGCATACCAAGTTGGCTGGCTATATGCAAAATTCGTCTTTATTGAAACATTACTTGAAACTAATCTACTTGAGCTATGAATTTTAATCTAGTTCTGCTATTCAAATAATCCGATTTATGTACGGTTAAAGGTCAAAAGTCCACTGCCACCGTAAGACTACTATCGGTTGCGCTGCAGCGCTTATACACACACACGCATATTTTTATATATGTGCGAACGCGTGCGTGTGTTTATGCGTACGCACACGTTTTTATGCACATTAAACTGTCAAACACCAAGCGGTCACCGGTGACCGCAACCTATTGTTCTATAATTGTGTCTACAAAACCGGTACTCGACGAGTTAATATGAAATTACTTACGCATTGCCGTGTACACATCACTCACGGTGGCAGTGGACTTTTGACCTTTGACTGTACACACATCAATCTATACAAAACCAGTTTATCCTGGTGTCGCGTCGCATCATCTTTCCGCACATTTAACGTTCTGTTTATACTGGTTATGTAAAGCTCGATATGTAGCCGTGTGTACCACTTGACTAGCTACGCAAGCGCAGTAAATATAATACGAAAGAAGTATAATAGATCCCGAGCTACTTTACTACTATGGATGATGACATAATAAGAGAATCTATTTAGGGCCGATTTTGTCAACGCCATATAAATTTTAACTGAAGAATAACTTTGAATATTTGACAATTCTTCTTCCATACTAAGAATTGTCATGTGTCAATTTTATTTGACAGTTGAAAGTTAACTGATAATTGAAAAATCGACTCTCAGTCCGTCAGTTAGATAATCAAAAAATATTAGACACGTATTATTTTTATTTTGTCGTATAAGAAAACAATGTTTAGATAAAACAAATCAAAGTTTAGGAGTGGGAGCTAAAACGTCATTTCTACGTACCTAGAAGTGACGTCACGCGACATTTCAAATCAACATATCGTCGAAAGTAATGAATTTTGTGAGAAAAGAAAAAATACGTGTCTAATGGATTAAAATAATCTACCAGACGGACATTAGAATAAAAATTAGGCATGTACCTATTGTAAAAAAAAACCATCTATTGTAACTTTGAGCCCGAATTTGATATCAAACGAGGCATTGTTCACCTCAGACTTAATTCTTGTGATCTACAGTCGTATCTATCTATACAATTTTAGTTATAACTAGCCAAACAAAATGTTTTATTTTCGATACATATAATCCAAATTTTTGTAAATTTCTTTGTCGTGTCTTAAATTTGTACGATATTGACGTTAATTAAACATTGAAATGAAATGACATTAAGGTGCTCCCTCACCGGTAGCATTCGCGTGTAATGTAACGTCACAGATCTGAGCATTACATCAGTGAAGGAGGAGAACCGAGCATCACAATGCGCACCTTATAATGGTACAATGAGTAATATCTTGATACAACTTGTAACATCAATGCGCTCCACTTCCCCCATCCTCCCGCCCGCCCGTCTGACATCTTGCTATGAAATGCTCAAAGTCGAATCAATATGTTATATTACACGCAAATGCTCTTTAGTCAGGGAAGTATTATTGTAATGTAATGCTCAAAGTCGAATCTATAATGTAACATTACATGTGAATGCTCCCGTGAGGGAACACCTTCAATATAAATAACAATAATAAACCAACAGACCCGATAAGCTTCGTATTGCTTAATTTTTTTTTATCTTACTTTTTAAAACCTTCTCTGAACTTCACACGAACATTTCGGGACCGAAATTAGCCAAATCGATTCACCGTTTTAGCGAGCGAACGAACGGAAATTTCATTTTTAATAATATAGATAAATATTTACGTTATTCATAAAACGCAATTTAATATGTCTCTAAACAAACTTCACGATTTTTTCATATTGCCATCCCTTACAAACATTAGTAAATCATCGGGCCCCCGTGTAACACGATAGCAAATTACTTGTAAATCATTGGGCCCCCACATTAGTACGTAGGGGCCCGAAACAATCCTAATGCGGCCCTGTACCGAAGATTTTGTATTGTATTTTTTTGCGTTTTGCTACTATCTCGCCTAACGGTCTTATTTAGCTTGCCCGTTTGTTTGTTTCGGTCTTCAGTAATTGTAATTCCACCCCCTTCCTGACGACACATCGATCATCATATTTGGTACACACTCTTAATCTTGATGACCATAATTACAATATTATCTAATTATTTCCACAACTACCGTCACTATGGATATCAAACGAAAGTCCTTGATTGGTAGAATAGAGCTCACTGATGCTTTGTTTAATATTCGTCCGCCATTATAAGTACTACGAGAGCTGTCCACCCGTTGAATGGCTTGCACCCTGATCCCTTACCGTCTTCTGCTGAATACTGCTCGAATAAGTATCCTGTTTTCTTGTATTGGTTTAGAATGTTACCTGAAACATAAATATATATTTATTGAAGTCCTTCTTTGTCCAATAGGAGGAGTTTTTTTTAAGGGTAGAAAATCATTTTTATTTATTTATTTATTTAACAACTTTGGAAGACTAACAGCTAACAAAACAAAAATTAAGAAATTGTGTGAGTCATCGAAATTGTCATCGAAAGATTTCTCCCGCCTAGGTGAGGCGGGAGGGAGTGTCAGACTCTTACTGACTAAAAACCACACCGTTCCTTCTCCTGCACTTCGAGCCGGAGCCCCGGTTACCCGTTAGGTTAGCGCGACAACAGGAGGAGTTATGAGTTACAACCAGATTCTAATGATATGATTATAAACAGCCCAGGTAAGAAAATAAAGATAGATTCAGTACAGAGACAGTAGCTACTGTAGTACTAAATTGTACGCTTTGTAACGAAGCTATATCTTTTGTAACCTTTGGTCGGCTTTAGATTACCAATGCTTACTGTCTCTGTACTGAAAGAATCTTTGTTTTCTTACCTGTATACTATACTAGTGACTTGCCCCGGCTTCGCACGGATGCAATGCTTATGTAATTTACGACATCACATTAGAAACCTCTAAATTTATCGGTGTTTCTCTACTATATTATGCATGCATTATACATATAAACTTTCCTTAAGAATCACTCTATCTATTAAAAAAAACCGCATCAAAATCTGTTGCGTAGTTTTTAAAATCTAAGCATATATATGGGACTGTCAGACGCCGGGTAGCGACTTTGTTTTATACTATGTAGCGATAACTTCGTATATATATATATATATAATTATAGGTAATAATAAGCAAAAAAGGGTATAATAAGCCCGCGGGAAAAGTAGTAGTGGTGACAAATAAATAAATATACTTACGGACAACATTATCCCTGAGTCTCCCGTTCAGTTCAGCGGCCCTGGCAGCGTGTGGGCCCCCGGCGTTAGCGTAGTGCTTGAGAGAAGACAGGGCTAGATAGTTAATAGGGACCCAAATCTGGCCCCGCCAGTATGGAGGGTCGTGTTCTGTATTCCTCTTCATGTATAGTGGCGCGGATTTTGATAGGGACCTGTTATGATGGTTTAACCCTTTGAGTACCGTCATTATAGACACAATTAAAGAACAATAGGTTGCGGTCATCGGTGTCCTCGCGGTGTTAGACAGTTTAAATTTATTATTGAGTGTTGAAAGGCCGAGTTGTCGCAAGTGCGGCTGCCGAGCAAGGGGTCTCTCGTTCGATTTCCGAGTCGGGCAACGTATTACTGAGTTAAAAAAAATCTCAGTAGTAGCACGGAGTCTGGAAATGTGACCGGTATATGGCAATAGGGTCCCTCAATTACATGGGACTCATAACATAAATAGTGAAAAGTGGGTGTTACATTGTACAGTGGGATTAATGCCGGAATACTGAAACGTTACTCAATTTTAAGTCGTGCTCAAATATCGTGCCATCTCTGTCATTTTACAAAGAATTTGTAGAGATAGAACTATACTTAAGCACGACTTAAAATTGAGTAGCGTTTCAGTATTCCGATATAAGTGCCTTAATGTGGACCTCTGCCTACCCCTTCGGGGATAAAAGGCGTGACGTTATAACGTTATTTTGTATTGTTGGTGTACATAAACTAGTAAATAAATAAAAAAATAAGACTAGCTAGAAACTACTCTGTTACCCAACTAAATGTAGTTGTTTAGTAGTGATAAATGCATAAAATAGGTCCTATTTTTATTAATAAGAAGGTAAGGTAAGAAGTTACCTTAAACCATAAGGCGACCACAGTAGCTCAGGTTTGTCCAAGTCTTCAAGGATCTTGCCTAATTTGTCGCTGTCTGGCTTTAAGACCTTCATTAACATTGGGAATAGGGAGACGTAACCTGGAAAAGTAAAATAGAAGTTAGAATAGAAGTTGACCCGGTTGAGTGGCTACAAACAAGACTGCCAATTAAGGAACTTGGGTTCGATTATCGGGTTGGATAAAATATTGTTAGATCTTTTTCGGTTTTTCCCATATTTTCATATTATATTGAACAGTCTTCCAGACATCGCGTCATCGCATAATCGTGCTAATTTTGAAAATATTAAAAAAAACAATATTCTCCAACAATAGTTTTACCGACCTGTGAATCTAATCTTATATCATTGCTTTGTAGTGACACTTGAGACTGCTATACCTTAAAAATGTTATTTTTTTTTAGTTTTTCAAACATCTAGACTGCAGTTTCGGCTGTGCCAAAAAAATATGTTACACTATGAATCAATGTTTTATTTATCGATCTAAGCTGTAGTTTCAACTATGCATACAAAAAAAAATCTTAGACCGCAAAATTAACATTATTTTGTACGGCATAAGCCGGTAAACGAGCAGACGGATCACCTGATGGTAAGCAATCGGCGTCGCCCATGGATACCCGGAACACAAGAGGCGTTACAAGTGCGTCACCGGTATTTTGAGGATTAGGAGTTTGAGGATCGTTGGGGATTCAGGGATTGGGGAAGGGGAGGGATTCCAAAGTAATTGGGCTTCCGGTAATCTCATTCATACGACGAAACACAACGCAAGCGTTGCTTCACGTCGGTTTTCTGCTCGGCCGTGGTATCACTCCGGTCGAACCGCCCCATTCGTGCCGAAACATGGCTCTCCCACATTTAGATTACTTACTTACATTTCTACAGCTAAAATATTATTAAATATCGTACCAAACACCGAAGTCACCAGTCTTGGTTGTGGTGGTACTGTGACGCTCCTCACCACCTTCGCTGGCTCCGAAGGATTCTTCGGCTGCTGACGAACTAATTTTACTCCATCCGTGTGGAGACCTGGTAACATAAGGATTCATTTTGAAGTAGTCTCTAGATGCACTTGCTCTTCGGGTCCTATTAATTGTAGCGTGATGAGCCATAGCCTTCTCGATAAATTGGCTAGTCAACACAATAATTACTTTAAAATTTGGACTTGAGTTCCCGCGATTGGCTCATTGGCCGAGCTGTCGCAAGTGTGATGGCCGGGCTTTTAAAAAATTCTCAGTAGTAGCACGGAGTCTAGAAATGTGCCCAGTATATGGCAATAGACTCACCGTCTATTACATGGGACTCATAACATAAGTAGTGAAAAGTGGGTGTTACATTGTACCTCTACAGCAGCATTAAGTGCTGTAATGTGCACCTCTGCCCAACCCTTCGGGGTTAAAAGGAGTAATGTTATGTTAGTTCCCGAGATTAACGGGTTTAGAGCAACCCTTCAGCTTTATATTTTTATGGGCGGTAAACGAGCAGACGGATCACCTGATGGTAAGCAATCGGCGTCCTCCATGCACATCTGGAACCCCAGAGGAGTTAAAAGTTGCCGGCCTATTAGATTGGGGATTTGGGGAAATGCGACTGAGACATTGGAAGTGGGAGGGTAGAGAATTGGCCTGTTACTTACCGTAGTCTGCATAAGTCTGTGTGTGAGTAGACCAGTGGAGCTCGTTGAGTAGTTCTTCATCGCCCAACTGGTCTTTTGTAGCTTCATACCTGTTTTAAAATCAAGCAAAGGGATGAAATTTGGAACCTCAGAAGTAGTTTAGGGGTTTTTTTTAAGGGGGAAAATCATCGAATGGCTACTTCCACCCTTTGTGTCAGACTCTTACTGACTAAAAACCACCCCGTTCCTTCTCCTGCACGTCGAGCCGGAGCCCCGGCAACCCGTTGGGTTCTCCACGACTGGAATAGGGGTAGATAGAATCTAAAATAACTCATAGGCTATATTTTATCAAGCGGGCGAAACCGCTGGCACAAACTAGTCTATACATTTATACAATAAAATCGTAGAAAATAGACTTTTCGTAAAACTACTTTGTTTTGTAATAAGTATGTAGTGTTTCTTTGAGTTTGTTTATTTTATTATATTATTCATATCTGCTACATCGAGGGGTTTGTCTTTCTGCGGACTTATGATGGATATCTGTAATCTATAACTGGTCCGAGGTGGGAGCCTGGAGATCCGTCACACAGGGAATCCTAGTATGGACTCCAGTCTCTCTCAAAGGAGTATGTTGTTTGCATCTGATTATTGTATCTTATTTCTGTGGAATATCCTTTGTGTGGAGAGATAATAAATATATTTATAAATATAATGTTTTTTTGAAGAATACTTGGGGCGTGATCTACAATCTATACAGAAACCAAAAATATGGTATTAACAATTTTTGTCTGTATGTATGTCCGGGATGATCTCCAAAAGTACTGCATGGATTTACTTCAAAACTTGCATGAATACTAACAGGTCGGGTCAACATATAAGCTACATATTATCACGCAATTATCTGCGGGGGAGGAGCCCTATCTAGTAAAGGTACTGAGTCGCAGAGAACCTAACGGGTTATCAGGGCTCCGGCTCAAAGCGCAGGAGAAGAAACGGGGTGTTTTTTAGTCAGTAAGAGTCTGCCACTCCCACTGCCCTTGCCACGCCTGGGTGAGGCGGGAGCAGACACTCTATGATTATCTCCCCTTAAAAAAATACTAGGCACTGAATCAATTCTGACGACATTCGTTACCGTAGAATATCCCTTGATAAAGACTAATTCAAAAGCCTAAATTCTATCAGAAGTCATTATTACGCAGACGAAGTCGCGGGTAACAGATAGTATATAAATAAAATAATTATGTTCAATTAGTGGTCCATCTAAATACTGGATCAAAAACATATCTTACTTGCTAGAGTCCCTCTGTAGGAGATCAGCTATGGTCATCATAGCGTCGGCGGCTGCATACATCCAGCATCGAAGGTCCACGTGTCGCTCAATGTCTGAAGGGTGAGACGCCCTGCAATAGATTCATGATGTAGGGTAGACAAAGGAGCACATACTTCACTACATATAACATAGTATAAAATAAAGCTGCTATCCGCCGTCTGTCTGTCCCTATGTATGCTTAGATCTTTAAAACTATGCGACGTATTTTGATGCAGGTTTTTTAATAGATTTTTTTTTTTAAGTGGGGAAAATCATCGAATGACTGCTCCCGCCTGGGTGAGGCGGGAGGGAGTGTCAGACTCTTACTGACTAAAAACCACCCCGTTCCTTCTCCTGCACGTCGAGCCGGATCCCGGTTACCCGTTAGGTTCTCCGCGATCGTTAGGTTCTCCGCGACTTTTTTAATAGATAGAGTGATTCTAAAGGAAGGTATATGTATAACATAACATAACATAACATGAAATCACGCCTTTTATCCCTGGAGAGGTAGGCAGAGGTGCACATTATGCAATTGTACAATGTAACACCCACTTTTCACTATTTATGTTATGAGTCTCATGTAATAGGGGGTGAGCCTATTGCCATATACCGGGCACATTTCCAGACTCCGTGCTACTACTGAGATCTTTAAAAACCCAGTAATACTTTGCCGGACCCGGAAATCGAACCTGAGATCACTTGCTCGGCAGTCGCACTTGCGACCACTCGGCCAACGAGGCAGGCACAAAGGTGCACATACTTTCAAAGAAGTCAATAAAGTCACCGTTATTTATTGAAATTAGACCAATAAGGCATTTTGAAAGTTCAGTAAACCGTCGGGCCCCAGGCGGGGCCCCAATGGGCCGTATTTAGGTGTCAAGTTACTTGAGCGAAAAAAATTTTATTACTTCAAATTTCTTTTAATATTGGCTATGTGCAAAGTGATTAGTGGCGGACAGATAACGACCGCAGCGCACAACACGGTAGAAATTGGAAACAAATGCGGATGATGCAAACCCGGTTTTTATTATTATATTCATTTTACACTAAAACTATTGAATAAATTGCACTTAAATAACAACAATACTAATTTAATCTTTGGTTTTACTTATATTTGCAAAGAAAATTATACTAAAGGAGGCTTTGCGTGAGAGATTTTAAACGTGGAACAGGCATGCCTTATTACGTTTAGGTCAGCTCGACCGGAGTGATACCACGGCATCACAGAAAAGTGGCGCGATACAAAGCGTTGTACTTTGCCGTATAAGTGAAGTTTATCGGTGGTCCAACACGCATTTATAACTCGTCTATTGTTGCGGGTGACAGCGGGTGTCCATAGGCGGCGATCATTGCTTACCATCAGGTGATTACTCTGCTCGTTTGCCGACCTATACCTTAGAAGAAGTCCATAGTCCATAGTGACTTACCTAGGATAGTCATCAAGTCCAGAAGTCAGTGTTTTAGGGTTGAGCTGCAACCCATCATCTTCTCGACCTCTCCATCTATACGAGGTGGGCTCATCTCCCTTCTGGGTGGTCTGGAACCATTGGTACCATGCCTGGAAGGAAATGTCTTCATTAAATAGGTATTATTATGATAATGCTAGAGAGTACAATAAATTGACACCACCCCTACTCTTCCCGCGGGTATCGTATACCCAGGACTAAGACTACCTTCAGACTACTCATTAGACAGAGATAGGGCAGGCAGAAGAACTCTTTAAAACCAAAATCTCGACCAATTTCTTCATTACTCTCGATCAAAAGTACCAGGCGCCCATAACACAGTAAGAATTTTATTCACTTACCTGTAGCCGACTGAACATTCTGTCTAAAGTCGCGCGATGTTTAGAACCGGTCACGAAGAGCTCCGGCCGTATCTTCACGAAGTGGGCGAGCTGGATCAACAACATTGGTGGGTTGGCCGCCGCGTTGCTTTGTACTACGAATTCTTTTGGTACTCTTGCTAACGCCTCCGCTCCTGGTAGGTGATAGTTAAAAATCAATGTTAAAATCTTTTACTATTATATAAAGCGGAAGAGTTTGTTTTATTGTTTGTTTGTTTAAACGCGCTAATCTCCGTAACTACAAGTCTGATTTGAATAATTGTTTTTGTATTGAATAGCGCATTTATCGAGAATGGCTGTAGGCTATAAAACATCACTCTACGACCAATAGGAGCTGAGCAGAGCGTGTGAAACCGTGCGAAAGTAGCTAGTGTCTGATAAAGTTGCTGTTTGTTTAACTAACAGTTATTATCTTATCTTACTAATATTATAAATGCAAAAGTTGGTGAGTTTGTGTGTACGTTTGTTGTGTCTTGGTACTTGCGGTACCAATGTAATTTTTTCCGAGTTATATGTACTTTCTAAAATTATCTAAACACCACTGACAAACGGCGAAGGAAAACATCGTGAGGAAACCTGGGCTTATAATTATAAATTTGAAATCGCCAACCCGCATTAAGCAAGTGGTGATTAATGCTCAAGAAGATAAGAAGAGGCCTTTGCTCAGTAGTGGGCATTTATAGGCTGTCGATGATGTGTATGTCTGTTACTCAATTACGTCAAAACGGCTGAAGTGATCGGGATGAAATTTTGAAAAGGAGTAAATTAGGGGTCGGAATAACACACAAGCTACTTAATATCCAAGGGAAATCCGGGTGAATCCGATGGCAGAAGATTTTCATAAGAAATTATGAGGTTCTTAACGTTTTAAATGAAAGCCAAGACCAAGTCCTTATCCCCCTATGCTCAGTCCTCAAATCCTTAGGGGATTCGCCCCCAAAAGACGGACAACGCACTTGTAACATATGCGGATGGCCATGGGCTGCGGCGATTGCTAACCATCAGGTTGACCTCTCATTCCATATATTTCCACTCACCCAATATCTGTTCCCGAGGAATCCATCCTTCAACATTGATGAGATCCATCCAATGAGCTGCGATGTCCATCTGTATGTCTGGAGACCAGCGTCCAATCAGGAGACCATGGAAACCTTCGTCCCAGAGGAAACCACGAGGGAAGAATGACCTGGAGTGCATAAAAACGAAGATTTATCATCATGATCATCAGCAACTTTGACAGTCATCTGCTAGACAATGAGCCTCATATTCATAAGAGTGTTTGCTATAATTTCTGCTGGCGGGCAGGTTAAAGATCGCAGTTTAAAAGGTTCAGGTCTGTCGGGTCGGACGTGTCTGTCGGGTCGGATGTGTCGTGTCGGTCGGCTTTGTAGTATCTGTCGTATTATTCGTATCTGTCGTGTCGTTTGGATTTGTCGTATTTGCCGTGTCGGTCGTATTTGTCGGTCGGATCTATCGTATCTGTCGTGTCAGTCGGATCTGTCGTATTTGTCGTGTCGGTAGGATTTGTCGTGTCGGTCGGATCTGTCGTATTTGTCGTGTCGGTCAGATTTGTCGTATCTGTCGTGTCGGTCGTATTTGTCGTATCTGTCGTGTCGGTCGTATCTGTCGTATTTGTCGTGTTGGTCGTATCTGTCGGATCTGTCGGATTTGTCGTATTTGTCGCATCAGTCGTGTCGGTCGGATTAGCCGTATCTGTCGTATTTGTCGTGTCGGTCGTATCTGTACTTGTCGTGTTGGTCGTATCTGTCGGATCTGTCGGATTTGTCGTATTTGTCGCATCTGTCGTGTCGGTCGGATTTGCCGTATCTGTCGTATTTGTTGTGTCGGTCGTATTTGTCGTGTCGGTCGTATCTGTCGTATCCGTCGCATCTGTCGTTTCGGTCGGATCTGTCGTATTTGTCGTGTCAGTCGTGAAACAAGTGAAACAAGTGAAACAAGTGAAACAAGTGAATTTATTTCTGCAAATAGGCTACAAAGCAGCACTTTTACACGTCAATTTTATCAAGCGAACGATGAGGTCGACATTTCCTAACTGACTACTCTGAGAAGAAATGCTGAAACAAACTCAGAGGTCTGTCTCTTTTAAAGTCCAGACAATATGTATAA